AAATATATAGATGAAGGTCTTGATATTTTTAGAATTCCAAGAAGTAATAAAAGAAAGTCACCTTTTTTTAATGAAGAAATTATTATAAATAATAAAAAATATAAAAATATATATTATTTATGGAAATCTATTCAGAAGTAAGTACACTTATTTTGTATAGATATTATTAATAATAAAGAAGAAGTAATTATATATTCTATAAATCAGTTTCGAGAAAAACTTTTAAATATACAGTGACTCAAAGAATTAATCCAATGATCACCGATTTTTTACTTTATTGCAATTATCTCTATAACCACTATATATATCGCCATCGTTAAAAAAATATTTTGTAGCCTTAATTCATAGCTCTGTAATAAAAAAAAGATGAAGTCTCTAGCATAAGTAGATGATGAGTAATTATATTTTCCGCATAAGTACTCATTGGATCAATTTATTGGGTGGTCAGTTTTCATTAAAAACCGTCACAGTAAGTAAACAGCAAGCTGTGAAAATTATTTCTTCCCACTTCTTTCACCAATTTATTTGAATTCAAGGTGAAATCTGCAATCAGATCTCTCAATTGACACATCTGATTCACAATTGATCTAATTAGCAACATTCTGTGTAGATGCAACCCATTTCCCAAGATCAGATCAACAACATTGAGCAACAACTTCGTCAAAACGTTCCTCACTGCACTATTGCCTCACGTTTTAATGTCAGTGTCAGTATTGTTGGCCGCATTTGTCAGCAATTAGCCATTCCTACTGGTAATTCCTCCAGACGATCATCAGTAATCACCACCAACTTGGGTCGCCTCATCCTCCGGAAATTCAACACTGGTGAATATAAGGATGTTACAGACGCCAGCAGAAAACTTTCTGCTACAGTGTCTATCCACCTCTAGACGATCCGAAACTTTCTGAAAGAGGAACAGCCACTACCCTCAGAACGTATCATGAATGTTGACGACCACACAACATCATGATACCACACCCATAGACAAGTAGCAACACTTCGTTTATGCTACCCACGTCAGCGCCTCCTCTGACCATTTTAATTATTTAGTGATACAGCTAATTTTATAATGACACAATAATTTATTTTTTATATTTTTTTAAATTAGAATAAAAAATATTGAATTTTTGTATCTTTAGATATTATATATATTTTTTTAATATATTATATTATATTATAATGATAACGATAGTTCCTCTTTATTAGACAACTCAATCGCCGTTGTGGGCTCTTAAAAATTTTTTAAAAAAAAACAAACATTAAAAAATAACAAAAATTGAATTTTAATATATATTATAAGTAGTTGCTAGAAGAAGTGATAAAATAAAAAAGTATTTTATTTTATTATCCCGGGGCTTCTTCTACTTCTATGATGCTGAAACATACTTATCGTTATAGGTACAATTTAAATATTGTTTAAATTCTTTAACGATAAGTATTTGATATAACATACCGAAATCCGTGATTTAATGGCACGAACCCATATTTTATCTAGGTGCACATAGAGAGAATATGACTATACGTGAACTATACGTAGTATGTATAGCTTCATAAGTTATTATAATAATAAATTAAATAATAAAAAAGAAAAAATAAATTAATTTATTATTATAAATAGAAAATAAAAAACATTCAAAATAAGATTTTAAAATGTTTTTTTACCTGGTAAGTAATTGCCAGGTTTTTTTTTGACTTTTTTTAAATGGACAACTCGGGGTCGGTTTGGAACCCTTCCGGGTTGCATCGCCACCCTCTGCTCCTTCAAACCTTAATTTAAACTAATACAAAATTATAAATAAATTTATAATTTGTATTAAACTAAATTGACCCACTACACATTAGAAGACACATCTCACGAGTGTCTTCTTTAAGGGTTATAATGTTAATAGATGTATTTATAAATTTTAAAAATAAGAGGAACAGCCACTACCCTCAGAACGTATCATGAATGTTGACGACCACACAACATCATGATACCACACCCATAGACAAGTAGCAACACTTCGTTTATGCTACCCACGTCAGCGCCTCCTCTGACCATTTTAATTATTTAGTGATACAGCTAATTTTATAATGACACAATAATTTATTTTTTATATTTTTTTAAATTAGAATAAAAAATATTGAATTTTTGTATCTTTAGATATTATATATATTTTTTTAATATATTATATTATATTATAATGATAACGATAGTTCCTCAAAAAAAATAAATTCAAGTCAATGATCAAGCCTAATGCATTACCATTAACTGCTGCTAGAAAAAAGGCTCATCTGGCATTTGCTAAAAGGTATCGTTCCTAGACAGTTGAAGACTGGAAAAGGGTTGTGTTCTCTGATGAGACAAAAATCAACCGTTTGGGCTCTGATGATAAGCAATGGACATGGAGAGAAGAGGGAAAGCCACTTGGAGATCATAATGTCAATCATGTTGTCAAGCATGGTGGTGGCAGTCTTGTTCTCTGGAGTTGTACAGTGACTCAAAAAAACGGCGCACAATATGCAATTTTTTGCCGTTTATACATTTTTCTCGAGATCTGTTGATGAGAAAAATCTGAAATTTAGCCTGAATAAACTTTGGATAGTTTTTTAAATACATGCCAAATTTCATGCAAATCCAACTATTGGTTCCTGAGTTACATGCGCTTGAAGTCAGCCGGTCGGTGCGCCGTTTTTTTGACTTTGCCAAAAAATCGCCGAAACAATTAGCGACCACAAAACGTATTAAATAGTAGCTCAACATCTGATGATGGGAACGATGTCAAACTTTAATAGAATATACTAGAGATAGTTGTGAATAACTACGAAAAAAAATGATGTTATTTCATTGGAAAATGACTGAGATATAGGCGAAACAAAACGATCGGTCGGTTTCTGAAAAAAATAAAAAATTGTGGCGACCTTAATTTTATATAAAAAATAAATCAGTATCTCTATAACAAATGATCAGATCATCTCCATATTCACCATACACATTGTCCACATATTTGTTATAATACATATAAAAAAACAGCTTGAAAGCATGCATAGATCTACAGATATTAAGATTCTTAACATGAATGCAATAAAATAAAGCTTAAAAAACTTACCTTTCATGGTTTATTACCATTTTGTTTCACCTCCTTTGGCTTGAATAACCGCCTGCAGACGTCGTGGCATAGATTCAATGTGTTTTATACACATTTCCTTGGTTACTTTTGTATACCAAATGTGAGAGGTTCGACGCCATAGCTCATCAATGCTAGTAGGGGCTGTATCATATGTACAAAGCTGAGCTTTCAAATAATACCACAAGTTTTCAATAGGATTGAGGTCAGGTGAATAAGGAGGCCATTCTAGCACATCAACATCATGTTCCTGCAGCCACTGTCTGGTTAATTTTGAGGAGTGTTTAGGATCATTATCATGTTGGAATATAATGTCCTGAAGAGTCAAGCCATAATGTGATAATGTCTTGCCCAAATCTTCCTCTAGGATTCGACAATAAATTGTAGAATCCATGCCACCATCAATTTTTGTAATGTAGCCAGGGCCCTCAGCAGTGATACAGCTCCAAAGCATAATATTACCACCACCATGCTTGTATACATGATTGATATTATGATCGCGCAAAGGTTCTCCATCCTTATACCAGGTCCATTCCTTTCCATCAGATCCCAATCGGTTCACCTTGGTTTCGTCGCTGAAGATCACTCGTTTCCAATCATCTACCGTCCAGTGCTGATACTTTTTGGCGAAGGCAAGACGAGTTTTCTTACGATTAACTGTCAGAGGAAGTGCGTCAGGTTTTTTGCGGGACTGATAACCAGAGTTTTTAAGATGGTTACGGATGGTTTCAGCAGATATATGATAACCATCCGCCTGTAGCTCCCTAGAAGCATGAGCAGTGGTACTGTATTCACCAGAACTGAACTTGCGCAGTATGATGCGGCCGAGATTAGTGGTAATTACCGATGGCCGCCCATGTGGAGCATCAGTGCTGATGCAAAATTGCTTAGCAATGCGACCAATTGAGCGTCGAGAGATCCCAAGTTGTCTTGAAATAGACCGAATAGACTCCCCAGAGTTCAAACGAGCCTGAATATTCTGGCGGGTGGTAGAAGAGATTGCTGTCATGTTGGTAATTCAATTCAAAATCGTGATGAGTGCTAATTAGAGCGCAGATGAGGGTAATTGCAAAATCAGGATGCAGTAGAAAGGATAAAAGGTCGCCTAACAACGCCCTTTTTTTGTACTAAAGTCGGAGTGCATGAATAAAGTGACACTGGTGGGAAAAAATAATCAGTACTCACCTTACAAAGGTGAAAAATTCATATGTAATTTTTCTCCTATGATTGCTTTCTAATGATCTACTGCACCTAAAAATCTGAAACTTTACATGAATGTTACCATCACAACTACAAGCATGCAAAAAAAATTTGGAGTAAATTGAATCAGCAGTTGTCGAGAAAACAATACAAGAGGTACAGCAAAACGGTATCTTTTTATCGTCCGGAAATTGACCGATCGTTTTGTTTTGCCTATATCTCAGTCATTTTCCAATGAAATAACATCATTTTTTTTCGTAGTTATTCACAACTACCTCTAGTATATTCTATTAAAGTTTGACATCGTTCCCATCATCAGATGTTGAGCTACTATTTAATACGTTTTGTGGTCGCTAATTGTTTCGGCGATTTTTTGGCAAAGTCAAAAAAACGGCGCACCGACCGGCTGACTTCAAGCGCATGTAACTCAGGAACCAATAGTTGGATTTGCATGAAATTTGGCATGTATTTAAAAAACTATCCAAAGTTTATTCAGGCTAAATTTCAGATTTTTCTCATCAACAGATCTCGAGAAAAATGTATAAACGGCAAAAAATTGCATATTGTGCGCCGTTTTTTTGAGTCACTGTATTGAATAAATGTCTCTTCGTCCAGAAGGACGGTATCATATGCAATGTCCGGTACTTTATAGATGCTATCAAGACACACTACCAAATGTGTCCTCTTTTGTGCCGCTTCTTCTGTGGAGGACCATATGCCATCCTCTAAGTATGAATTCAAGGATAATCGTTCGGCTAAATATTGGGCAAGGGATATCCTGAAAGTGATGACTAGTGTCGACGTTTGATCACCGAGCTGTTTTAAATACTGATCAGCCACATGCGTCTTACCACACCCCATTGGGACGTCGAGGAATATAAGCCTGGAGCACATGGCGAAGTCGATATCCAATCGATCGAACTGGTTTAGTTGTGGGAATTCGGAATGTATCATTTTGTTTGGGCGAGCGACAAACCCATATTGGTCAGCACATTCCTATACTGCGATGAGTTTATTTACTTATTGTTTCCAGTCAACACACAGACTCATCAATATAAACATTGTGTAGCCATAGTTAAAACAGAACACACCCTTTTCTCCACTAGGTTTATGGAACATCTTAGCACTAGAGTGTCCAACACCTTTGAGGAACTATCGTTATCATTATAATATAATATAATATATTAAAAAAATATATATAATATCTAAAGATATAAAAATTCAATATTTTTTATTCTAATTTGAAAAATTATAAAAAATAAATTATTGTGTCATTATAAAATTAGCTGTATCACTAAATAATTAAAATAGTCAGAGGAGGCGCTGATATGGGTAGTATAAACGAAGTGTTGCTACTTGTCTATGGGTGTGGTATCATGATATTGTGTGGTCGTCAATATTCATGATACATTCTGAGGATAGTGGCTGTTCCTCTTTCATGATCCCAGTATCATCTGTGGTAGTCTCACATTTGAGACAGAATACACTTTGTTAATGTTGCAAATCACGAATCTGCTCAATGTGGTTATGTTCGTTGACAATACTACCAGTATCATCTATGATGAGTGTGTCACCTGATACGATTCTATCGTACGGAATATTGCTGATCATGTGGATAAATATTATAATAGGACACATATGCTATATATAGTAATTATATTTTAAATTTATTAATAATTTTTATTATATATTATTTACTGTATTTTTGAATTTATAAATAAAAATTTCTTTTATATTTAAAATTTTAAAATTAAAATAATAATAATGTATTTTTAAAATACAATTCAATTCTTTTTTATTTATTAATATAAGTTTTTTTAAATATAAGGTTATTATATATAATAATTAATATACTATATTTGAAAATTTAAAATTATGAAAAAGTTTTATTTCTAAACTTTAGATTTTATATTTTTATTTAAAGTTAAAAAAAGTTATTATTATATTTCATTATTATTAATAATATATCAACTACTGTATTCATTATTATAATATATATTTTATTTATATTATTTTACTTAATAAAAAGTCATAGTGGGGCATCTAAAGATATAAATAAAAGTTATTTATTTTTAGATAATAGCCCCTTTTATTTCTTTTTTATTTTTTTTTTATCTTTTTAACTTTTTTCTTTTTTTTCTTATAAATTCATAATTTAACTTATACATAATATAATTATATATTTTTTAATTATATATAAATTCAATTTTTATTAAATAAAATTTATTTGAATTTAAATATATTAAGATCTGTGTATTATTATAATAATTGATCTAAGATTTTAATAAATAAAATATATTAAAGATATTTAAAATAATTTTGAATATATGAAATAATTAAAAAATAATAGAATAGATGTCACACAAAAGAGCAAATATGGATAACCGTCCTAAGTACAACCATCCTTTTATCAAAGTTTTAGCCACTCAGCCATTATCTCCTTTAAGAACATAGACTGAATAAACACATATAAATATCTCCTTATAATTGACAAAATAAAGTATTATCTTTCCTATCCCTAATCCTCTTGTTTCCCACTCTGGTGATTTTGCCAGTGTCGTACTTCACTCAGATCTGATATACAGTCAAGATTACCAAAGTGGTTTACCAAGAAATATAGGTCTAAAAACGACTAACTTTTATTATTTTATTTGTTTTATCTTTTATATCTTTTCTCTAGTTTACTGATTATTAATCTATTACACAAAAGGGTATTAGCTCTTTTCAGAGTCTATATATTATTAGTGTTGACTTTTCACTTGCAAAAGAGTCTACGGGGAGTTCTGATTGGTCAGAATGGAAACAGATCACGACACTGGTATATCAGATCTGAGTGAAGTACGTGTCGTACTTCACTCGGATCTGATATACCGGCAAGATCACCAGAGTGGGAAATAAAAGGATTAAGGATAGGAAAGATAACGCTTTATTTTGTCAATTATAAGGAGATATTTATACAGTGGGGGAAAAAATGGTCCAAACCTATGCCCTTTTTTTACGTTTTTATTCATACAGCGGCTTTCACTATATATACCGTCCGAATTTTTTTTATATGAAAAGTACATTCTCTTCTCTACATTGTCGCGAAATCCCGGTGATCGCATTACAATTCATCCCATTGCATTCACCATTTCAAGACGAGTGGTTGGTTTGAACCATTTTTTCCCAAAAACTCAAAAATAAGAAAAAGTATTTTTTCACCCGTTTTTCTTCTTGCCGATATAATAAACGCTGGCGAAATAAAAATATCTTTATGGCAACGTCCTCTAAAAAATATACATGAAGCATTCCGGGCAGAATCATGCAATTCATGAACGCCATTAGCTCCATGTTAAATTCGGTGCATAATAGGCAGCAGATCTGAGGACCGCCAGCATACTACATCTTTTCTTCATCAGTAAACTGGCAATTATTTAACTACCGTTTTTTATTTATTTTTTTGTTCGCACTCTTCCCATTCTTCTGGAATTTCGGCCATTTCACACAAACTGTTCCCCAACTACTGTCAATTATGAGTAATAATTATTATTATTAAAAGTTATTATAACTGTTAATGGATGTATATTAAAAGAACTCTCAGATTTTCTAATTCAAACTCCGAAAATTACTTTTTAAAAAAAATTGAATTTTATATATATTAAAAATAAGATATATCAAATTAAAAT